TCAAAATAATTTCTACATTTGAGTTTACATCAAGTCCAAAACAGCCACAGATGAAATAGTGTGAAAAGCTGTATTACCATAGGGATTGTTTTTCTACCTGTGACTAGATTCAAAAGTATTTCTTCCTTTACATACCCTTTTGTAATTCAAACTGAACCAATTGACCAAGCATAGTATGTGCACCAAAGTCTTAATGGCTCAGTAAGTGAAAGACATGGCTTAAGCCACAATTACATTCAATATTTAGATTTTATACTTTACCAAAGGCAATTAAGAGGATATTTCACCATTAAGCAAGATGGAAAGCTACTTCCTTGTTCCAAAGGCCTCTTGATTACCTTTTCAGTAAAAATAACAATTATTAATAGACTGGAGTACAGAAATCTTGGGGTGTTTCCTGGAAAGACCATGTCCTTATGATTGGTAATAAGAAAACAAAAAACAAATAATAAAACTTCATATTCACGCATCAAACCAGAAAGAATAAAAAAACACCAACAAAAAGCATCAGAAGCTCACCACTTCCAATCTAAAATCAGGCATCTACAACTCCATTTCTTCTTCTGCATACCCAGATATTCCCGAACTAGCATATGGATCTGGAGACATGGCAGTCTGTTGTGATTCAGGGAACATTTTGGTCTGTGGGTCAAAAGGAGCTCTCAGTGTTGGCTGATGTTGGTTGCACCAACATCTGAGAGTTTTGGCACTGTTTGGAATTATGCTTGCTTAGAATTGCATTGCCATGATGTCTGCATTTCAACCATTGCTTATCCAAACCTCACTAATTCACATCACCCACTGCAAGTGCTGGATCATTTCTGCAAATAAAAAGGCTTGTACAGTCAGGGCCTGAGGCAACTCCAATTAATTCAGCCAAGGTGATGCATCTTGCAGCACTGGGGTGTTCAGTGGAAAATGTCTGACTACAATAGCACCAAGGCATACAAAGAGCCTGTGATTGGGACTAACTATTTTTGATATGACACAGTTTAGGACTTTAGAGGTAAATATGACAGTAACCAGAAAGAACATGTAACTCCACTGATACAGCTTCCATAGTAAATAGTTCCAGAAAAACACAAGAGGAAAGAGAATTTTAAAAAACCTGTTAAATACATGAAAACTGCAAAACAAATTTTCTTTACCTTGTATTAGAACTATCCCAAATATTGTCACATAAGTCAGCAACAAATCTCTTTGTTACATTATGTATATACTTCAGACAGTCAGACACTTATTCTTTGAAAGACTTACACACGCACTTAAAATTAAGCATGCAAATAGTCTCACCAGGTACTGATAAAAGGTTCATGCCTTCACTTGAACAGTCATTTTACAAGCTTTTTTAGCATGCAATATTTGTGTTCACTTAGTACATAAGACAACAATTTTCAATCTGGTTAATACAGGCAACCATGTGTCCAATGGATAAAAGTTCACACATGCACACCAAAAAACCAATTACATCACAAATAGAGAGATACTCCACAGTATTTAAAAATTAACTTCTGTATCATTATTTTGCAGTTCAGTACAAGTACTGAAATTTATTCACATGCTATTCATAGCAGAGATGAACTTTAATGGTGTTCAAGTGCTTCCACGCTAGCCACTGTTTTTACAGTTTTCTAGGCTTTGATTTATCTAACAAAATTATTTGAGTTCGGAATTTTCATTAATGTAATTTTTAACTGTTTTGAATGTAGCTTGGTGGTTATGAAATACAAAGTTTAAAAATATTATATACACTAGTTCCCACTATAAAAACAAGCTTCTGACCTTAAATTGAAAAGACAAAGTAGCACAATAGCACAGGCAAAATCAGCTATAGGAAGAAGTCTCGCAGAGAAGTACCTCAGAACTTCCCACTGAAAATATGTTTATATTTTACCAAGCAGTAGGACTTTAAAAAGACAGCAAGTCACAATTTGCACATGCATGAGACAACAGCTATGCCCAGAACTGTGTAGCAGTATAGGGATCAAGGGTAACTGACATTCACTCAACGCAAACATTTAATTTTGCTGAAAAATACACACTAGGTGAATGGCAAGGGGCATTAGCTAGACTGTGTAACTTCTCTTTAGAACTATCTGGCTAAAGGGCAGAAAAACAACGTTGTGATTGCATTGTTAAACACTCAAAATGAAGAAATAAGCATGACACACTATACAAAATGTTAGTGCTTTGTACATGTGTTGCCATAAAGATGTTTCACATAGCCTATTTTTTTGCACAATGCAGATATAGAAGCCAGCACCTAGGATGGTAATTTAGTTACCAGTGGGGTAAAAATCAACTGGAAAATCTCACCTGAGGTTTTTACTGGTAATTTGTGTGAATGTAATTTACAGCAGAGTTTTCCGAAAACACTTTGAGAAAAGTTTTTCAAAGTTTACAAAAAGACACTGATGTGCAATATACATTGTTTAAAACATTGTATAAGTTGCAAAACATTGAGTAATATACAACAAAGGAAATTAAATGGGACCGTAATGCCCATTTCTTGATACCTGAGTGCTTAACTCCGCAGCCTTAACAGTACCCCATTTGTGTTTTCCTTTTGACAGACTGAATTCCTAGAGTCTGCTTAAAATGTCAACATTTGAAATCTTGCAAGCAAAGACCAATTACATTCAATCCCAAATACTCATATGCCCAAAAGGGTATAATTAAAAAATAAAAGGAAGCGGTCATGCAGGATACTGGCAAGGAAAAGGTACTGAAGGAATTTTAGAAAAAGCATTCAAACTCACCAGTCCATTGTTTGGCTGAGGTGAAAAAGGCAAACATTACTGAGATGCACCAGTGAGGAAGTTAGAACACAAATCAAGGCCCATGCCTGCAAGCACATGTGAATAACTTCAGGCCCAGAAGCTCTTTCTGTGGCAAAGTTATTCATATGTGTGCAGAACCTAAGCTCAGATGTTACCGTTAGAGTAGGAAATGCTACTTCCATTTTGCTACTGATCTCAATGAAAATAGAAATTCACCTATGTTTAACAGCAACTGTTTCAACTCAAGAAGACAAAAACGCCTTGAGGTCTCTCAAGGTAACATAATAATTAACCTGTTCTAGCTGCTCCCAGTTCTCCCTATCTATTTTTTCTCTCTCTCTCTCTTTTTTTTTTTTTTTTTTTTTTTTTTTTTTTAACACAAGTCTCAAAACACATCTGAGCTTGCAAATGGAAGCCTTCCCAGGAAGCTAAGTGAGGGCTGTACACCCTGTGGTACAAAGTGCTGTATCTATGTTTTGCAATGTACCAAGGTTGCTTATGACATTAGGATTAAGCCATTATTCTTTTTACTGGGTATTTCTCTGCCAAGCCTGATGTCACCTGAAATGTACAATATTCAATTCAGTGTCTTCTTAAGTGTTGAGTCCTTCCAACATACGCTTGTGTAGATTTTGGGGATCTGAACTGTGTAATAAACCTCACTAAGAGAAAAAGGGCACCATGCAAATGTGTAGAATGGAGAATGCATGTTTACCTGATTGGACAAACACTAACTATATATACAGTATTTTTAAAGTTTATGTGACTAGTATGGATTCAAATAGATTGCCGATTATGAACTACTGTTTGGAGAGGAAAAGATAAGTAAAAGGTTTATGAATTCAGTGAACGGAAGACTTTAAAGTCTTTAAACACCAATAGTTTGGTAAGATGTAACTGATACGCTGTATGTATGTATGGAAGAGTGGGCAATCAAAAATTAAAAAAAAATAGGACAGCTGAGATTTATAAATAGTAAACACAAGATCTGGGGATGATTGTTTCATGTACCCTAGCAATGAGGAATCATACACTGTTCAATTTATTAGAACAGTGTGCTGTTCAGACAACCTAAGTGATGACAGTAGCAACTCTGTCATGGACTCACTGAAATAAAGGAGCGTACAAGTCCAGCCAGACTGGGCGCATGTGCTGCATTGAGTTGTTTGAGGATGCTTTGTTTTCTGATGTTCCCTCAATGTAAGTTTCATCACAGATGTCAACAAAACAAGTACATGGAGTAATTTCTTTCAAAAGTCTCAGTAGTCAAAAATGAAACCTAACAAAAGTAGTTACGTTTTGAAACACCAACACTACATATAATTTTATCTGCCATTAGATATGGCCTTGATCCAGGTAACGGCTAAATTTTTTTCCTGGGATGTATTACTAGGCAATTAATTAAAGTATTTCAATTAATTTATCCTTCCGATCAGCAAAAAAACCTAAATAGCAGGTATCAACCTGACAGGAGAGCACTGAGAAGTGAAAAGGGTTGAAAATTATAACCAAAGTGGAAAGAGAAGGTAAAACCGGGTATATGGCCAAAATGGGAGAAAAAGCAAAAAGGGACTTTGGTGCTAAGGCCTGCAAGTAGGACTGAGCCAATGTCTGTGCCCACTTCGGGACCCGCCAGCCAGTGTCCCGAGGACCCGCTGCATCCTCTCCAAAAACATGTGCGTGTATAACATGTGTATGTGCGTATTTTTATGCATCTCTACATTGTGTAAGTAGGCGCCCGGCGGGGCTTTCACTGAGATACTGCCGGGCCCAACAGTGCTCGGCGGAGCCGCGGCCGGGCCGGGGCGCGGGTGCCCGGCGGCAGGGCAGTGCGGAGCCAAGCCGGCACCGGCACCGGCACTGCGGGACCGGCACGGGCATGGCGGGACCGGCACCGGCGCGGGCAGGGTGGCTCCGCAGTGTCACTGCCTCCGATGGTACGGCGCAGGCGGAGCGCAGGTGGAGCGCAGGCCGCTGCTCTCGGCGCGGGCAGGTGCGGACCCCGCCGCGCCGGCACCAGCCCCGCCGGCCGGGGGGCCGCCCGCAGCCCAGCCCCAGCTCCCCCGGGGCCGCCGAGCCGCGAGGAGGAGGAGGCGCCACCGCCGGGTTTCACCAAGGACAGGCCCGAGGTCAAGCCCGGCAGCCGCCCCGCCGCGGCCCCTTCCCCGCCGCCGCCCGCGCCGCCCGCCGCCTCCCCGCCCGCCGGCGGCGGTGCCTTACCTTGGCAGCCATGCTGTGCCCGGCGCGGCCACCCCTTCCCGTCCCTTCCCTTCCTCCGCTCCCCTCCCTTCCGACCGCGGCGCGCAGCTTCCCCGCCTGCGCACCAGCCCGCCAGCGCCGGCCGTCACCGCCGCTCTCCCAGGCAAGGACGGGGCGCCGCCCCCGCCCGGCCCCGCCGCGGCCCCGTGATCGCCCGGCACGGCCCGGGCCGGCCCCGCGCCGGGCGAGGCTGCTGGACGTGCGGGCCCGGCCCCGGCGGGCTGCCGGCGTTGCGGGGCGAGCACTGCCTCACCCCTGCGAGGGGACCGATCACCCTGGGGACTCCTCCTCGGCTACCGCTGGCGGCCCAGCTGGTGCAGAGACACTCCGAGCTCCGAGGGGCCCTGCAGCCTCTGCGGCCGCTGGAGACGCGACCGTGTCTCCAGATGGAGGCTCGTGCTGCTGACCCCAGGAATGCCCCCGCCGCGTGCCGAGGACACTGGGACAATCGGCAGGAGGATACCAACACCTGCACAGCAAACTCTGCTGTTTGGTTCCCCGCAAGTCAGGGATGTTTCATCCAGTTGCAGCATCCCCAGTTACCATTCTGAGATGTCCCAAGAACGAGCTGTGCCTTCCACCAGATTTTGTCAATGCTATTTCAGTTCCTAAGTCAGCGTGAGCGTGACACACAAGCAGCCCCGGGCTGCACCGGAGATGACCTAAAGTACGGCACGCTCAGCACCACATGCAGTTTGCAGACTGGCCACGGACAGCCTGTTCGGGCATGTTTGCACCATGTGCCATGCGGGCCATGGCTGCTACCAGGGCAATTGCCAGCGCTGCCAATGTCCGTTCTGGCTGGCCCTGGCGCTTCTGGCTCCTGGGTGGGGGGATTTTAGGATAGACTGAGGTTAGAGGCAGAGAGCTTGCCGCATTTGTGTAACTAAAAGGTTACTTGTTACCGCTCCAGGGCAAGTTTTTGAGTTGATAATTATGTATCCAGTTAGTCATAGCTTTGAGGTAGATCTTCCAGCAGTCACTCACAAACTGAGTTCTGTAAAGATACTGAAAAGGCAAAGGATGTCAAAGACAGAAACAAAACAGGTTATAAAAACAGAATAATTAACTCTTTAATTGTTTTTTAATTGTCTTAAAATTGAAACAGTAAAGGAATGATCAGGATTCCTGAATGAATCTTCATAGTAGAGAAATTATAAGGATTCATAAACACATCTGCACTTGCCCCCTATACATGTTGGCAGGATGGCTCTTTTTATGTTTTCAGTCCAATGCATTAACTACTTTCTGTGTTTTAGCAAACTGTACAATGTCCCTGTGAGGCCCAGCAACATACCTATCTCCTCAGCAGTCTCCCAGTCTCAGCTTCTTGTAAAAACCCTCCCACTTGCTGGATTCTCTTTATTTTCTATCTACCCCACATTCATGTGCCCGCTGCATGTGCTCAACTGTTCTATGAGACAGCACAACCTTTCTCTTGTTGCATCTCCCTGACCTAGAAAATAGCAATTAGATCACAACAAACTGGGAGCCTTTCTCCAACCACACCTTTTCAAACAAACATAAAAATCAGATTATGTAGTGCCTATCTGCAAACTAGATAATATTGTCACCTTATCATAAATGAATAGATAATAGCAGTCCATTTATAAACAATAGAAAACAATCTCAGATTATTTTAATGATACCACTAAGAAGACAAAAACTACATTGAGAAAATAGCATAAATTGTCTTGGAATACAAATACAGCATTCTGTGTATATTCAGAAGTCAGGATATTTAGATGTGAGGCTCAAAGTCGGTCCTATTGAGCTTTATTTTTGTGAAAACAGGCTTCAATGGGACTTTTTTTTTCATATTAAGACTGCTAAGAAAATTACTACAATTCTCACATTTTAGTGCCACATGGTCTTGAGCCAGTTGCCAAGGAAAAACACAAGCAGAAAAACTGCCAATGTTTCAAGTGGACTGGTGGTGAAATTCAGAGAGGTGAATGAAAGATGACCCCAGAAAGTCTTGATCAGCTACTCCCTAAATGTGACAGCACAGGAGCTCTTCTAGCACTTATAATCATAGAACCATGGAATGGTTTGGTTTGGAAGGGACCTTTAAAGGTCATCTAGTCCAACCTTCCTGCAATGGGTAGGGACATCTTCAACCAGATCAGTCTACTCAGAGCCCCATCCAACCTGATCTCGAATATTTCCAAGGATGGGGCAACTGCCACCTCCCTGAGCAACCTGTTCAAGTGTTTCACCACTCTCACTGTAAAAAGGTCCCTTCCTTTATCTAGTCTGAATCTGCCTCATTTCCCATCCTTTGAGAGCTCCATGTGTCTCAAGTCCTGAGCATGCCTTCAGCACTGCCTTTGTCCTGACAAGACTGGAAGTTTGGCCTGACAGATCTCTCACCATGTCCAATGTGCACATACAGGCCCAAGTTCCTTATCTTCATAGAAAAGGCAATGAAGGCTAAGGTCACATTTTAGATGGCATGCAGTATGACTGTAGTGGATTATAGCACTCTCCTTGGCCACATAAGCAACTTGTTTTCAAAGTCCCCTGTTGACTGAGGTTAGATTCAGGCCCATGTGTCATACTCCTTTCAGTATGTTTTAACCACAAAGCCATAGACTGCTCTGGGGAGTAGAGGAGGAACATTTTTCAGTCTTTCTAGTGAAAACTTGTTATTGTGCAGAGTGGAATCCAAGATTAGCTGGACTGGAGAGAAGCATGAC